CATATAAAAATAAATAGATATGCAAAAATATATATAATCTCCCACTCTTTTACTACCTCTTTGCCCTACCCCAGGCTGCAGAGCCAAGAATTTGGAGCAGGACTGTTTCTTTCCCAGTTTTCCTTGGGTGCCAGTGTTTGCTGGGGCTGTCAGGACCATGCAAAGCTGACATCCCTGTTGGTTGACTGTGTTGGTTGCAGAGCAGGCATCCAGTGAAAGTGAAAAATTTTGGCAGGGAGGGGGAAGGGGTTTTTTTGCTTGTTGAGAAAACAGAGAAGAAAACACCCTTTTTTATTATTTAAACATTTTTGTCTGTGTGTGCTTTTGCCTTTGGCTCCCAAAAGCAAAAAGAAAAACAAAATGTGTCTTCCTGGAATTCATGTGTTGATCAAGAGCTGCCATTTGTCCCAGAAAAAATGGGAGCTGAAAAACTATTTTGGGAGCAGGAGGTGCAGGGTAAGTCCAGCAGGCTGATCCCTCCATCTCTGTGACTGTTCTGCACCATATCGTTGGTCACATCCTGTAATGGTGAAGAAAGATGGTGTTAATGTGGTCACATCCTTCTCCATCCATGAATTGGGTGTTCAGCAAGGGAATATAATATCACAGTATGCTAAGTAGTTGGAATAGATCTTAGAGATCATCTAGTCCCACCCCTCTTGCCATGGGCAGCAACACCCTCCACTAGACCAGGTTGCTCAGGCTTCATCCAACCTGGCTTTGAACACTGCCAGGGTTGGGGCAGCCACAACCTCCCTGGGCAACTTGTGCCAGTGTCGTGAAGCAGAGGGAAAGGGGATATCCCCATGCTTTTAATACAGGGTGTGAGATTTAGGGCATGGAATGTCCCTTGGGCTTGGGATGTAGCAAGCAAACACATCCTGGGGTGTGGGTATCCCCAGGAGATGTGATGAACATCCAGGGATGGTCTCCACTGTGCAAAATCCTTGTGAGCTCAATTAAATACTTAGAAAATGCAGCCTGGAGAGGGTTGGCAGTCACAGCATTTCCCAGCCTGGGAATGCTGCTCTCTGATTTGAATTTTTCCAGGTAGAATTTTCCCCAGGCAATCAGAAATGGGCATAAAAAAGTGCATAAATCATCCTGGTAAATCTAGCAAGTGAGTTAGCTGCTGTGGTGAGTGATAGCATGTAGTATAATTCAGAAAATATTAGAGGATATTGGGGTTTATGTAATTATCTGTAGAAACAGAGAGGTTTAAATTCCTATTTTCCTTCTATTTAGGGGGTTAAATCTCAGCTGGTGCTGAGGTTGGCTTCCTGCATGGGACAAATATCCCCCTGGGGTCTCCATCTGGTTCAGGAGGTCAAGGCATCCCTTCTCCTGTGTTGACATCTCCTCTGCGTGAGTGTGGACACCTGAGGCAGGATTTGGACCATATTGGTGGTGGGAAGGCCATGGTGCCTCCAGCAGCGGCTGAAGGCATATCAGTGGTTGCTCATATGGCCTTGACCTGCCTTTTCATTGGTGTTTCTCCTCCTTGGTTGAGTCTCCTGGAATCAAGTTGGTGGTGGAGCTTCATGGTTGGTGTCTACAAGCTGGGCCTGGTGGTATAGCATCTTAGTGTTTCAAAGCTGGGGCTGGTGGTGGAGCTTCTCAGTTGGCATCTCTGACTTGGGATGCATGGGCAGGGATGGATGGCATGCCCACGTGGGTCTTTTCCTGGAGAAAGATTGAATGATTTTTATTTCCTTCTTCCCCACAGCTGATAGTCGAAAAAACAACTGACTACCCTTCGGCTGAGTACTCCCTGGTGGAGGATGTAGCCCTCCACTTCACGTGTTTGATGGACAGACTGAACGAGCAGCGCCTCTTTCAGCCGGACCTGTGCGACGTGGACATCGTGCTGGTGCAGCACAAGAGCATCTTCCCGGCGCACAAGGGGGTCCTGGCAGCCTACAGCCAGTTCTTCCACTCCCTCTTCACCCAAAACAAGCAACTGCAGCGCGTGGAGCTCTCTCTGGAGGCCCTCACCTCACAGGGTCTCCAGCAGATCCTCAACTTCATCTACACCTCCAAGCTCCTCGTCAACTCCTGCAATGTGCAGGACGTGCTGAACGCGGCCGCCGTGCTGCAGATGAACAACATCGCTTCCTCCTGCCAGGACCTTCTTGACACCCGCTCGCTTAGCCTGGCTACTGACATGGCCCTGCCTGCTGAGGGCTGTGCTGGACCCCCACCCTACTACTGCGAGATCAAGCAGGAGGTGGATGCCCCCCATCCCAAAATCTATGCCCGGGAGGGCAACGACCCCTATTCAGTGCGTGTGGAGGATGGAACAGGTGGTGGGACGCTCCCTGCTGGTCCAGCCAAGCAGTACTACAAGGAGGAGAAGGATGGTGGTCCTGCTGCTGTCTGTAAGATGGAGGGTGAGGAGTCTGAGGAGGACCTGGACAGCCAAGGCTCATATAACCGGGAGCAGATCATTGTGGAGGTGAACCTCAACAACCAGACCCTCAATGTTTCCAAAGGCATGGAGGGGAAGGCAGCTGCCAGTGAGGCGGCCGTGATGGGGCGGCCAGAAGGTGATGGTCGAGACACAGAGGAGGATGGGGAGGAGGAGAATGAGGAAGGGGAAGAGGAGGAGGAAGAGGAGGAGGATGCAGAGGTGGGCGAGGAGGAGGAGGAGGAGCACAGTGAGGAGGAAGACCTGGAGGAGACGACAGAAGAAGAGGAAGATGATGACGATGATGAAGATGCGTCAGAGACGAAAAGGGAGAAGGGTGGGCAGCCCCGCAGGGGCAGCCGTGCATCCAAAGCCACCAAACCTACCATGGCAACCAGGTCGCAGGAGATGGCCAAGGTGGAAGAGGAGGAGGAGGAGGAAGAAGAAGGCCAGCGAGGGAGGAAGAGGAAAAAGGAACAGGATGGTTTGGGCCAGAAGGTGAAGCTGGAGGAGAAGCAGCACTACCCATGCAAGAAGTGTCCCCGGATCTTCAACAACCGCTGGTACCTGGAGAAGCACATGAACGTCACGCACAGCCGCATGCAGATCTGCGACAAGTGTGGCAAACGCTTCCTGCTGGAGAGTGAACTGCTGCTGCACCACCAGACTGACTGCGAGAAGAACATCCAGGTGAGCCAGTGCCATCCCATCAGGGGATGGACATCCCACCACAGGGCAAATATCCCACCAGCAGGTGGAACATCCCACTAGGGATGGCCATCCTGCCAAGATGGGGACATCTCACCAAGGGAGGAGTATCCTACCATGATGGGACATCTCAGTGGGGGAGGGAGATCCTAAACACCATGGAGGTCATCCTACCCAGCTACAGCACAGGATGGGCTCATGTTCAGACAATACTGATGTTGTGGTTGGCACATGGCAGACAGGAGGGAACCTTCCCTCACCTGTGACTTGTATTCAGGCTCAGGAGGGTCCCATGGTGGCATGGGACCAGAGGATTTGTGCTGAGGGACCATCAGTTCTGTTTGGCTGGCTGGCTGGAAATACGGAGTTAATTTTTGAGCAGTAATTTTTCTTTTGAGTTTATTCAGCTAATCTGGATAAAACATTGCAAGCCCCTGATGGAGACACACTCCAGCCATTCCCACCCAGACTGAACCCAGTTTAGCTTAATTCAGAGATTTGCTGACAGGAGTTAAAATGGTTTTAATCTGCCTTTTGTGCTTGCTTTTTTTTGGTGTATTAGCAAATTTCCAAATGCATTTGACATCCATGCGTGGCTCAGGCTTGGTGTGTCCTTCCCTGTGCTAATGACGTCCTGCATTTACAAACTGACTCCGTTAAATCAGTGCAGTTTTGGGGGGATAGGGAGTCATCCCATCAGAGCAGCAAACACATGTGCCTGAAGACTCCTCCAACCCTTCTCTTAATCCCCGATGAGCTGTTTTGCATGATGCTGCTGCTACTAATTAAAAAGATACCAACTTCTGGAGAGTTTCATCCATCATCCTTCTCACCAGTGACCCAATTTTAAATGATCTCACAGCTCTTCTAGATGAAGGTAATGTAACCCAAGTGCTGCTGGAGGCCTTTGCTGATGACATCCCAAATAAAGTGGGGAATGAGGCAGATGTCAGCATTAGGGCTTGTTGGGAACACATACAGGAACAATCTTGGCTTCAGTTCATGAAGGCGCTGCAGCCTTCACTGACCCTTTGGTGCATCTTCCTGACAGTTTCAGATTGCTGAGTTTGCTTTTTTGGGATGTGTTTTCCCAGAATGGATGAGTGCAGCTCTGGTATCTGTGGTGGTGGCTGTTTCAGAGCCTATTGTCAAGCCTAGGCAGTTACAAATGAGTTTTCCCAGAATATTTCTTCAGTCTCATCTGCTTTCCAGATGGATGACATGGGGCTGTTACCTCATTGCTTTTTTTTTTCCCCCCACCCTTTTTATCCTTTTTCCAGGTCATTTCTGAATAGGATGAACCACAACTGCCCATGCAGTGACCTCTTTCTGTGGAAAAATTATCGTATTATCTCCCACTTAATAGAGCATTTTTAATTTTATAAATAGCCAAATTCAGTCCATTTGCACTGATAATATTGAATATCTTTATCAATATACTATGGAATTAAGTCTGGACAGAAGAAGGATTCTGTTCAACTCTGTACCTGTAATAGACAGTCTTTATTATGTGATTGTTAACTGGTTCCATGGAGGAACCGTCCCATTTATCCCAGTCAGGTCTGCTGCTTTCTTTCCCTGTTTTGTTAGATTTCATTCATAATGCTTTGGATTTTAGGTTTCATCTCACTCTCTGTGATCATTTCCCATTTCCATAACATACATCCTACCTCCATTACCTGAAAAGTGATTCATCCTTTGCTTTACTGGGTTGTTTCTCAAACCCTTTTTTTGGCCAGTTTCAGTATGATTTTCATCTTAACCTGCGATAATTTATCTTCTCATTTTGTTCCCTCATTTGGATATTGCTTCCACATTTTTGAGTGATGAATTTCTGCAGTAACTGAGGATACAGAGCTCAGCCCCACAGTGTGTTTGGTCCCAGCCTGAGGGTTTTCCTTCCTCTGCTGCTTTCCCTCTACCTTTCATTTTAGAATTCCCCTACAGCTTTTTTTGCAATTTTAGTGGAGAAAATGGGCATTGATGTGTCTTTGATATGAGGCTCTAGTCTTGAATTCACCCTGAAATATCTCTTAAAGCAGAGATCAAACTGTTCTGATCAGTGGAAATACATACTTAGGAACAGTAAAACTCAGAGGACTAGGTATGTTGACGTTTGAGCATGGCTAGATGAAGATAATGAGTTTAGGAATGCCTCTATGACCTTAATTTTGCATTTTGAGCACATAAATACGTGCAGAGAGATACTGTGACTTCATAATATAATGGAGTATTTTCCACAGTATCACAGCAAAATTTGGTTGAAGCCCTTCAACAAGCATCTGTTCTTCTGGGTAGGAGGAGAAGCTGGAGGAATCCCTCCCTGAGCTCACTGGTACTGCTCAGCCAAGGCATGAAATATTTTCTCAACACATCTGTGAGGAGAAGGGATGGTTTTAGCTCTGTTGACCAAGAGGAAGATGAGTCCTGGAGAGATAGAGGGCAAAGAGTTGACTCTTGGTAAAAAGAAAGACCCTTGCCTCCTGGCAGCATTCTTGACCAGGTGCTGTCCACTGTTCCTGTGCTCCAGAAATGGTTTCTGTGTTTCCCTGAGTAGCAAACTGGTCCCATGTGCTTCAAACAGATCTCATGTGGAAGTTGGAGATTTTTCTTAGAACTTCCAGAGAAGCATTGAACTTGCTGGAGCTGAAGCAAATCTCTACCATAACCTTTTAGGGAAGACTCTGCAGGTCGTGTTGTTCTGTTTGTGCTGCTGGACTGTTTTGGAGTCTGTTTTGGACCGTTTGGATAGCACAGAATCACAGATATGTTTGGAAAACTCACTTAGTGGTGAAGTATACTTAATATCTTCTGAAGACTGAAGTTGTGCTGCCCTGGCTCAGGATTCTCCTTGTTTCTATATTCTTTGCAGCTTTCTAATGCACAGAGGATTGGGATGATTTTACATAAGGGCTTAATTTAGGAATAAAATCCCCAGTTGGGAATAGGGCCTTGGTGCACGAGCTGCTGTTTATGCAAGTCCTAATTAATACAGCTGTTGATGGAGATGCCATGTCCTTCCCTGGAAGGTCATTGTCCCTTCCTCATCCTGTGGATAGAAATTTGAGGTTTGGAGGTTTTGAAGTGACAAGGTCTGTATCAGACTTTCTGGTTGGAGTGAATTTTTATATCTCAGCTATAGGTTTCATAGTGATGTTTCCTTTCACTGGATGAAGCTGATAACTTGAAGAAACAGAAATGGTGGTGCTTGGGCCTGTTCCCCTGCTTCACTAACCATCTCCTCTCTCCTTACAGTGTGTGACATGTGGGAAGGGGTTCAAGAAGCTCTGGTCTCTTCACGAGCACAACAAGATTGTCCATGGCTATGCTGAGAAGAAGTTCTCCTGCGAGATCTGTGAGAAGAAATTCTACACCATGGCCCATGTGCGCAAACACATGGTTGGTGAGTGCGGGAGGCACTGGTGCCACAGGGAGATCTCATTAGGGGTGTTCATCCATCATTTTGGCATCATTGCCATCATTTTGGCTGTGAAGGGTGTGTGTTTTTGCTGTTGGGTGTTTAGAGCTGGGCTTACTCATGGGTGATGTTTCTCACATCAGCATCTTGAAATTTGGCCTGGTATTTAAGGTTGCGGTCAGTGTTGGGTTTGGAGCAATCAGGTGTGGTGCTGAGGAATCTCATTTATTTTGTTTAACCAGAAAAAAAGACCTCAGAAGTGACCAACAAAAGGTATGAAGTATAACCATCCTTCCCTTGTAAAAGAGGACCAGACCACACTAGCGCAGGACTTTGAAAAGCAAATTGCATATGGCAATGGTCAGGTCTCAAAAAGATCCAAAACAAGGAGGGATTTGGGAGGCAGTTAGGGAAGTACTTGAAATGTTGCTGCTGCATATCTTCGTGAGATAGCTTTGGGTTTGCTGGGTTTGGGCACTGGTGTTGGGAGTGACATCTGGGACGTGGGGAGATGGATGCTTGAGGTGTGGGAAGGGTGCCTGACCCTGCCCCTCTGCCCATCAGCACACACCAAGGACATGCCGTTCACCTGTGAGACCTGCGGGAAGTCCTTCAAGCGCAGCATGTCCCTCAAGGTCCACTCGCTCCAGCACTCTGGGGAAAAGCCTTTTAAATGCGAGGTAAGGTCCTCTCAAAGGAGCACAAAAGTGCTGATTTGGGGAAAGATCTTGCACTTCTTGAGGCTTCCCCCATGCTTTGTGCCAGTGCAGCTGTGGGGATACTCCCACGCTTTTCCAAACTTTGCTCACCTTCGTTTAAGGGTCCTGCCAAACTTATGATGAAACTTGTCCAATGCCGGGATCTGGATCTTGCATCCCACTTCAAGCCTATCCAGCCTGCAAACCTGGCTGGGTATATCCCAAAAAGCCATTTATTTGGGTTCTTTTTTGGGGAAAAAATTTATTTCTTCACTGCTGGTGATTTGGGAGGCATGTGGGGGTGTTTTGGGTGCTCATCAGCAGCTCATCCCCTTGTTGCCCCCGCAGAACTGCAACGAGCGCTTCCAGTACAAGTACCAGCTGCGCTCCCACATGAGCATCCACATCGGCCACAAGCAGTTCATGTGCCAGTGGTGTGGCAAAGACTTCAACATGAAGCAGTATTTTGATGAGCACATGAAGACACACACAGGTGAGAGGTCTTAGAATCATCAAGGTTGGAGGATACTAAGAGCCTCAAGTCCAACCATCAACCTGCCACTCTGCTGTAACCCCTAAACCCTAAACCATATGTTCCAGTGCCGGATCCAGATGCTTCTTAAACACTTCCAGGGATGATGTCTCCACCACCTCCCTGGGCAACCTATTCCAATGCCTGACCTCCATAACAGTGAAATATTTTTTCCTGTCATCTAATCTGAATCTCCTGTGTCTCAGCTCATGTGCATTCCCTCTAGTCTTCTCATTGCAGGCATGGCAGAAGAGACCATCCCCCACCTCTCTACAACCCCCTTTCAGGTAGTTGTAGAGAACCATGAGGTCAACCCTGAGCTGCCTCTTCTCAAGGCTAAACAAACCCAATTCCCTCAGCCGTTCCTCTTGTGTTTATCTTTCCCCCAGCCCCTGCAGGAATCAGCAGTGGGATGGGGGTAGCATCTTTGGGTGGATAGCAGGATGGCATTTTGGGAGGGATGGCCCAGTCCGTGACTTCTCATCCACCTTCTCTTAGGTGAGAAGCCCTATATCTGCGAGATCTGCGGGAAGAGCTTCACCAGCCGCCCCAACATGAAGCGGCACCGCCGGACCCACACGGGCGAGAAGCCGTACCCCTGCGACGTCTGCGGCCAGCGCTTCCGCTTCTCCAACATGCTCAAAGCCCACAAGGAGAAATGTTTCCGCGTCAGCAACCCCTTGGCTTCGGACACAGCTGTCCCCCAACCC